CATCGAGTGCCACGTCGCCGGTGCCATTGTTGTCATTGGACCCATTTTCAGATGCGTTCTCGCTACCACTAGCATTTTCGTTATCCTTGGCTTCGCCCTTGTCTGCTTTGGCTTTACGAGCTGCCTTCTTTTCTGCTTTGTCTTTCTTGCCCTTCTTTGGTTGAGTCTTCAAGATAAAGCCGCTCAACTTAAGTCGAGGGTCGACCATTGAACGCTTGCCGCATGCCTTACAATCCAAAACGATGTTCCCATCTTTGAAGATTACTTCGGTTTCAGGGTTCTTGCACTCCTTGCAGAGCACAAACTTATTAATGAAACCATCCAAGTAATCCTGCAATTTGCTTGCTTCATGAGCACCATTGATGATCCAACGATCGTCGGCAGGGTTGGTATTGGTTTGAGCCCCGAGTTCGAAGCCGAAATACTTGATGACATATGCCCCTGGGCGGGCCAATGAATTGGCGATGCTGGTGAGATTGACGATGACGGTTTTGATGCCGTTACCTTTTCCTTCAATTTTGGACTGGATCTTCTCCATCTTGTATCTGTAAAAGTTGTCCTTGACATCGCGGCGGATATTGACGGTAGCCATGATTGCTAGTAGGTAATGTTGAGTCGGATTGGGTATTTTCGTGAAGGTTAAGGGGTGCAGATTTTGTTTAGATAATGCGATAATCTGAAATATAACATGCAGGAAAGTTGAACTCGTTGAAATGGCAAAGTCGGTTCAGGTTGGTGAAATTTGGTTGGTGGTTACGGGAACATTCGAATCGTAGAGGATAATTCTTAGCCGTTGCTACTGAAGTAAGAACTACAAGGTTTCCGCGGTATGCGAAATGGTTGCAGCTCGAGGGGCGGCTGATGTCTGAGGTCGTTGGCGTTGGGTTTGAGATACATATAACGCAAATGTATCACTGTACGTGCTGAGAGCTTTGGGTGAAGAATTCAAGGGAAGAAAATCCTTGTTGACAAGGATGGAGTATCTGTCCGACACTAAAATGTGCAAGCTGTAGATATTTGAAATCTGGAGGTTGGATAACGACAAGTACAAGAGCGAAAAGCAAGAGTGCTTGCTTGACGTATTCTTGGACAACTTTGAAATGCAAAGTATGGGATTTGTTTGATTCCGACGATAGATGGGACCGTAGACGAGTGGACCTTTTTAAATGTAATTTATTTTGTTGAAGGAATCTCCAATACAAACGTTATTGTATTGTTGATGGATTTGTTGTTTGTTTTGTTGTGTTTGTTTGGGAGAAGGCAAAGAAAGAGGAAGGTTGTGGAGGGGGAAAAGAATGTTTGAAAGAATTTCCAAATAAAAGGTTTCGGATATCGATGGTGGAAATGGTAAGCCCTTGTCAACGAGAGAAAAAAAAAATGGAGCTAGGAAGCAGGAGGCAGGAATATAACTACAGCAAAGTAATCCTGACTAGGTGAGAATCCATAAAATCAATCATAAATTATGATTATTCGTTAAATTTACTGCATCTAGTAAATATAATGACATTTGTATTTATCACATGTGTACTCCGTAGAGACTTTTACTAAACGATAATATCAAAGCCAACTTCAGTTTGTTGGTAAGATATTACACACAAAAAGAAATACACGTGCCGCGTCTACGCATATGATTCATTGATATGCTTCATACCTAGTATTCATCTCCATCTTGAGCCATCCCAAATTCTTCCTCCGTCCTTCTTCCTGTTATTCCTTCCTTCCTGGGTTACTGACATCCGGATTCCTAAATTCGTATTTATTTCATTCCTGTCTCTATTCGCCCAAAATGGCCCAAAAAAATGTTGATTACTCTCTTTACCTGGTGACAGACTCTACATCTGCTATACTTGGTGATAGAAATCTTGTTGATGTGGTTGATGCTGCAGTTCGTGGTGGTGTCACGATTGTGCAATATCGAGACAAATCCAGCGATACAGCTGCCCTGGTTGATACGGCGAGGAAGTTACATGCTGTCACACGAAAGTACAATGTTCCACTTTTGATCAATGATCGAATCGATGTTGCTCTTGCAGTTGCATGTGAAGGTGTCCATATTGGTCAGGATGATATGGGTTAGACCTTCTGTCACGAATCAAAGTGATAATGCCATCTTTGCCTCATGTCTCTAACTTTGATCCAGATCTGAAGACGGCAAGAGCACTGTTGGGCAAGGATGCAATTATCGGAGTAACAGTGGCCAATGTCCAAGAAGCTTTGACAGCATCTAAAGATGGTGCGGATTATCTAGGCATTGGCACAATGTTTGCCACACCAACGTAAGGACAGCACGGCAATACGACTTTGAATTTCAGACTCGAGAGCCATAAAGAAATCAAGTGATACCTTTATTCCAGCATAAATATACAATGCGTAACCTTGTTTAATAGGAACAGAACCTTAATTCAATCTCCATACCTAATCTATTTGCTTAAGTTAATAAAGAGTATTCTGACGGATTTCGAAATAGGAAAACCAACACCAAAGATATTATTGGAACCGCTGGCACGAAGGAAATTCTGTATTCTTTGCAACAGGCAGGAAGCCAAGTGCGGACCGTAGCAATAGGTGGCATCAATTCCTTAAATCTACAGCGTGTTGTGTATCAGTCGGCATCAGAGGGCAAGCAGCTTGACGGGGTGGCCATCGTCAGTGCCATCATAGCAGCACAAGATGCCGAAATGGCTGCCCGCGAGCTTGCAGAACTTATACGGACCCCGGCCCCGTTTGCTCTAGCACATTTGCCGCATGATCAGAAAATAAAAGACCTTCGCGAATTGTTATTACAGGTTCCAGGTATCATAGGAGATGTTGCTAAGAAGACGCCTCTATCTCATAACATGACAAATCTCGTTGTTCAAAACTTTGCTGCTAATGTCGCTCTGGCAATCGGTGCCAGTCCTATCATGGCAAATTATGGAGAGGAAGCGGCAGATCTTGCGAAACTTGGAGGGGGCTTGGTTATTAATATGGGAACTATCACTCCCGAAGGGATACAAAATTACTCAAAGGCTTTAAGAGCATACAATAACGAAGGAGGACCAATTGTGCTCGATCCAGTGGGCTGCGGAGCTACTGCTGTAAGGCGGTCAGCAGTTAAATCACTTTTAGCAAATGGTTACTTCGATGTCATTAAAGGAAACGAGGGAGAAATCAAAACTGTGTCCGGATCACTTATTCAGCAACGAGGCGTTGACAGTGGCTCAAGTACATCGACTCTCGTGGAGAAAGCTACAATCGTGCGTGATTTGGCTTTGAGAGAGCGCAATGTAGTACTGATGACCGGGGCGGTTGATATTTTGAGCGACGGAGTACGTACCCTTGGAATATCTAATGGGCATGAGATCTTGGGCAGAATCACGGGAAGTGGTTGTGTTTTGGGTACTATCATCTCAGCAATGTTGGCAGTCAGTCGTGGAGACAAGCTTCTCGCTGTATTATCAGCATTGCTTCACTACGAGATTGCAGCCGAGATAGCAGCTGTACGAGATGATGTGAGAGGTCCAGGTACATTTGTTCCAGCGCTGATTGATGAACTGTACGTTATACAAAAGGCAAACGCTCAGAGTGATTTGCGATGGCTTGAAAAAGCGAGAGTTGAAACCATTGTATGGTAATATTCTGTAAAAAATCAAAAGACTGGAGTACCAGCATATATTTCCGTAGTTCTAATGCCTTGTGCACTTAACTTTCTCAGAACCACACTAAAAGCCCCTTGATCCGGGACAAAGTGCCAATCGGCACGCGGACGCGCTCCATTCCCTTAGCTCCACATCCTCGGCTTACACACCCCACCTACCCCAGGAAATGTAAACAAGTGAAAGTATCATTCTTCACATTGCAAAAATGATAGAACATGTAGGAAAACGTCTGAGTAAGTTACGTCCCTCACTTCTAGCTACCCAATACTTACGCAACTCAGTCAGACCTGCCCTCTTGTTCGTTCCCCATTGTCCGATCATTCTTGATCCCCGTTCCCTTTGAATCCCTCCACTGACTCCACCTTCCTTAAGTATTTGCGACATCCAGGAAAAGTTTCGCAAAGCGATACGGGAGTATGAGAAAGTGTGCGTTCATCCAACTTCCCTAACCTATAAATCCTATCACTTACTTCCCATAGTATCGCCACAACTCAAAAGTTGATCAAAGCAAGTGATATACTTCATATTCCCATCTATGCCACCACACAGAATCGCGCACGACTAGGCGAAACGTGCGCTGAGCTTAACATTCCCAATGCCGTTGAGCATGCAGACAAAACGGCTTTTAGCATGGTATGTGAACTCTACAACCATCATATATTGACCTTGAAATGAGAGCCTTTGCGTCGATATCGTTCTTCCATGATGTGACGAGATGTCGTTAGTGACTGACTCATGATCCCAACCCAGTGGATTCCATCTATCTCTCGACATTTCAATTCTGCCACCCCAGCCGAAGTGATTATCGTGGGCATTGAATCGCACATCTGTGTTACGCAGACGACATTGGATTTGCTAGCCAATGGGCACAAAGTGAGTGTACTTGGTGAGCACAACATAGCTGGGCTAACAATTTGCATAGGTATATGTATTAGCAGACGGAGTGAGTAGCTGTAACCCGCAAGAGATACTTGTAGCTCTTGATCGGCTGAGGGCTGCTGGTGCTGTTGTGACAACCTCGGAGTCGATCATGTATGAGATTATGGGTGATGCTAGGTATGCACCTTTCTTTATTTCTTCGTGACACATTATAAATGAAGCCAAGCTTACTTCTCTAGTATTCCCGAGTAAGTAACATGACCTATTTCTTGGTCTGTGATGTGATTATTGGATTTTGTTAATGTCTCTTTTCGTAGATTCAAAGCAATCGCTACTCTTGTGAAGGAATCTTCAGCGAGTACAAAGGATGTCATGAGTACTCTTCTCAGTAAGATGTGAAAGGGGTATCAAGAGATTGCAAACATAGTATCAACAAGTCAAGATATGATATGATTCTAATTTTAATTATTTGAGCACTAAGCAGTCAAGTACATACACAATTATTCCGCATCATTTGCTTGTAATACGTGCCTATTGAATTCCACATCAGGAGTCTGTGGGGGCTACAGAAACCTTCGGCTTGCTGGAATTCATCCATGCGAAAGCTGAAGCACCGCCTACTGGATTCGAGGATCGCGGAACGGTTGTAATCACTTTAGCACTCTTCTGATCCTCTGAACTTACTCTCTTTGGTTCCCAACGAAGCTGTGATTTATCAGTCCCGTTGGTTTGATCCTTGCGTTTGAGATCAGCCATTGATCTTGAAGGCGCCGGTTCGTAAGATGCACCTGTTCTTGCACCAGACGATGAACGACTAGCAGCTAGATTTGATGGAGACGAAATGGATTTTGATGGTTTTAGCACCTTCATACTTCGACCTCCGCGGACTGCTCTTTGATACCCACTCGTAGAATCACTATTGTGATCAGCATTGAGTGGTGTACTGCCTTGCCGCCATGATCCCCAAGTCCCCATAGACGTTTCGCGTTTGACCGCATCAGCTGCGTTCGTAGACTCGACTTTGTCTGCATCGGCCACGCCTTGGTCCAATTTGAGTAAATTTTCCGAGTCTGAAGTACTGCCACTGCTCTTCGTGAAAATCTCAGCTTCCAACATGGGGGGAATGTTGTGGACAGGTGATGAAGACGTGGCGGCAGAGTTGGTTTGTGGGTTTGTAACACTTTGAGATTGGACATCTTTGTCTGTGGGCTTGACATGATCGGCACGTGACCCATCAACTACATCACCTGCGTTCGTAGGTTCAATCTTGGATCGCTGTTCACTGGGCGTAAAAGGAAGAGCCGTTGCTTTGAGTTCATTTCTTTCAGGTGGGATATTTGCAGTGCACAAATTCTTGAAAAGAAGTTCATCTTCCGGTCGCACGAATGGCACAGACAGTTTATTACGATCATCGCCGAAAAGTGTCATTAGGTTTTGCGAGAAGAGTATATCCGCGTTGTGCGCACGTAGAGTATCACTACCAATAAATACACGTATTGATCTTTTGAGATCGGCAAAGGGTCGTTGATTCATGCCAACTACCTCGAAATCTGCTGTGAGAGTCGGTAAATGAGGGCCGGGACTATTGACTCTAGAAGACGATTGCGTTATGATTGCTTCCGGAAGATACACAGGTAGCCTGATGACGTAACGTCCATTTGTTGGATCCTTTTGCATTTGATTTGTTAGGCCAAGCTCTTTTACTAGCGAATAGTCAAGAATCGATTTTTGTGAACCTGTACAAATATCGGCATATATAAGTGCACTGTGAGAAAAGTTGACCGTAAGCCAGCATCTGATGATTGAAGGTACTGAACCCAGGATAAACAGACCTGGAGGGGGGTCCGGTATTTCCAAAGGTGAATCATCGTCCGGGTCACCGATCATAAAATTGGTATCCAAGCCTAGGCTACTTGTGCGTCCAGAGGGAACAGAATGAGTGGAGTGGACAGAGTGACCAGCAGAGCTATGCCTCCCATCTGACTTATGCGATGAGGAACGCTCAGTCATAGGATGGCTGCCAAATCCACTAGTCGGGCGAGCGGGACCAAACTCTCCTGACGCCCTTGATGCTTGTGCCCAATGTGACCCCTGTAGAGCGCTCACGTCGAAGCGTACACTGTTCGCTCTCGAAGTACCTCTACGCACTGGCTCCTCATCGTTATCCAGATGGAGACTCCCAAGTAGATTTTGCTCTTCTTCGTCATCAAAATCATCGAAAACATCCGTAGGAGAGTTGTGAACAGGACCTATAATTCAATGAGTTAATATCTTGACAAGTCTTGCGAGGATCAAGTCTAACACATACCTTGTTGAGGAGTACCGCTCAAAATGCCAGGAAATGGCGAATTTGTACCCCAAACAGATTTGAGAGCGGCATCGTCCGCTTGGCGCTTCTCCAGTCTCATAAGGCGGTCGGAATGGTTGATTTGTACGGCTTGTACGTGCTTCACGTTCATTTGAACATGATATAGTTCTTCTCGTGAAGCCGGGAACTGTGAATCCATTCCAATCCTTTCCTTGTAACCCCTAGGGAAGTTTTGTTCTCAAGTTTCACACTTGATAGCATGGGAGTGATTTCAAATGAAATGGACCAAGGAGGGTCACCTCAAAATGACGTATAATTATCCCCAGACGATCGTAATTTATGGTCTGATAGGAGAGATATTCTAATCGGACTGAGGTATACCCCGATATGTTTAGCACCTAGCCAACTGTGAAATTTTGGAGGAAATTCCAGCTCTTGTATCTTGTGCTTAATGCCAACGAAGTACACAACGGCTCTTTGTGAGCCTCCCCCACGGCATCGGCCGACGATTTGATATTTGAAACACCCTCCTGCCAACTATGATCAATGAATGCCTAATCTCGCAGGTTTTATTCTGGAACAGAATTGACTCTGAAAGGTGGACGAAGGTTCTTTGACTATTGTTGTGTCCAGCTGTTCCTTGAGAGTCGTGCAAGTATCAAATGAGGAATGTAATGGTGGCCTGCTTCGGTGAAAGTCTATGCTATGCTTCCTGGGTTTATTATTTGATTCGCAAGATAGTGTCGTATAGATTGAACCGAAGGAGATCGAGAAGCGTTACAGCAATTACGTTTGTTTGTTTGTCTTTTCGCAGATAGTTTGTCGTTGTTTTGCCGTTTGAGGAAGACTGGAATCGCAGTGGGGATACAGGTAAATACTAGAGATATGCAGTAAATCGATTTGAGTTTGCCTTTGGAAGATGTTTAAAAGGGTAGTAGGTAGTATCAAGGCTGCTTATTATGAAGTTGGTATATTATGTTGTATATTAGGAAGTCAAATTATCAATCAATACCAAGTTGTTCAGTGGGATTTGGGTTTGGAGGAATGGATGTCATTAATTGCTCTGGCGGTAGTGTAGCTGGTAGGGTCCTTTGATTTGGTTGCGGTAACCCTATAAAATCACAAGGGTAACTAACCTTAAGTGGTGTTCATGCATTTTCGGCGTTAAGTGCCCTGACAGTGTGAAACATGTTATACCAAGGTATTGCTTGTGCACTATAAACTACGTATACTAAAGACTTCTACCTCAAGGCATTTCAAAGATTAAATGTCGCCAATCACCCAGTAGGTAGCTAACGATCATCCCAGGTACGGGTTCCAGGCTGACTTCGTGGATGAAGCTTCTGCAATTCTTCTGACGGATATCAGTATGCTAAGCTACTTTCGTTGCTATTTTGATTCTTTTTGATTACCTTTCCTTGAAGCTATTCATCCCTCAATCCGTCAATACCCAACAAATAGGTGAGCTGTCTCTACCAGATCTCAGGAATATAGAAGATTTCCTTGCATGTATATTCTGTAATAGAAAAGACCACCTACACACCCTTCTATGCATCATGCATGCATTCCGTTTAATGACTGAATTTAGGAGCTACTGTCCACTATTATCAAATTATTAGCACTCTCAACACTACATCTTGAGGGAATGATGTATAAGCACCTAGGAAATACATCCAGGAACGGGAAGGAAGTACAAACGATATACTTACGTGCGGAAACACCCAGCTGGGGCTATCCAAGGGCTCTTCTTTCCACTCCTTTCCAACCAATGGTATAACTTTGTTTAAGAATACTCTATATCCGTCACTAGAAAGATGAAGACCATCGGTGAGAAGTGCCCTCATAGCTTTATCATCCTCAGCACGTTTGGTGCCAACCGTTTCAAGGTTGCCAGTATTATCTGGACTCATCTGTACTGCTTTGACTAAGATAGCCTTCCATAAATCGACTAACACCACGTTTTGATCTTTCCATTCATCGGCAATTTCTCTAACTGCAGCTGCATATTTGGCTGTGTTATCCTGTGATCGCGTAAGAGAAGAATACCCCTTCTGGAGGTCTTGTTCCTCAAGCTGAACTTCGTTGATAGGCGGTGGTGTAACGAGTAAAATTCTGGGGCGTTGTGCTATGGAACTCCAATTTTTGAGAAGTATTTCAATGTTTTTCTTGTAAATCTCCAATGGGACATGTTGACCCGTGGGACCATCCGGTAGGCATGCATCATTCGCACCGAACAGGACGAGCTTACAGCACATTCTATTAGTATACAGAGAAATAACTTAAGGATAGGCCCGCACCGAAAACGGCGAAGCCTGAAGGGGAATATCTATCACAGAACGAGTCCTACATGGTAATTTTTGACGTACCAGATAGGGAACCTTTGCAGTGGTTGGATCTGGGACGAGGTGCTGATGGATCTCAAGAGCATTATCGGTGTTGTACCCGCTCAACCCATGGTTTATTATCTGGAGCCGCCTAGAACAATCTAAATATGAATTAATGAGTGATTAGATAGTTCTAATTTGGAACAGTGAACTCACGTTCTTCAAGACCCGCAGTAAAGGAAAAGCCATCCCGCAGATGACATGAGAGTTGCACAATGGAATCGCCCAAAAGAATGAACTGGGGATAGCCTTTGAAAGCCATGTCAGATGTGGTACGGCAGAAGTTAACTAGTGTTTAGTTGATGGTTAATTTTTCTATCCCTATTTATTCACAGCCGCCTCGGCTAGTTCCAACATGCAATAGCGGGAATGCAGTAGTGCAGCAGTGCAGGAGTGCAGCGACAGGAAGCCGGGGAAGAAAACGAAAAGCGATATGCAGTTCACGAAACAATCATGAGAAACGGACTGTCTAGTATTTAGTCATTTGTAGGAATCGAAACAAAGACCAATGGAGATCAAAAGCCTCAAATGCACCTTGACAGATCTGTAGTCTCTCCTCAATTGATGTAATGTGCGACGTACGAAGTGGACAATTCTGGATATTTTGTGGAGTGTAGGTACCAGATAGGTAGGACTTTGCAGCTCTCTGAATTACTAGTGGGATGGGGTGGGATAGATGGATGATGAATGATGGATGATGGATGATGGGCTCATGGATTTTGACGCGACATTCGCGGGAGTTGAATTGCGAGATTGCCTCATTGCCTACTTTGTACTCTCAGCTACCATGCTACCCTGTGGATTTCATCCCCACAGATTAGCTTTTTCATCAATCGTATCTATGGAGGATAGATTTTCCAAAAAGTCATACTGACGACCCAGTAGACAACACTCTCAGCTAGCTATCGACTATTGGGTGTCTCGGTGTGGACGGGATTGTATGCACACCCAAATCGAACATCCTCTACGTTTCCGACGTCATGAGCTACATTTCCTTTTGATGCTGATGTTTCTGCCATCTGCTATTCATGATCCATCCCCTCGTAAGTATCGCTAGTTCACGAGTCATTTTACTATGGAATGTTTTATAACTCATCATGCTGGTCGGTTTGATTCCCAAGAGAGGTTATCATCAACTTGCTTTATGGCTTGCGGAATATGAATGGTCGATCATAAGGAATGAATTGCATTCGTATGTTTCACAGCGCTTGTGACTTCTAAGACGGCTTCCAAGAAAGCCGTATTACCTAAGTCCTTACTTACTATGACTAGGTAGCACCTTCTCATTTTCATGAAGCTTATCGAGCCTTATCGAGGCAATCCTGCATTGCAAAAGCTATCTTAAGCGCATTAACCGTATCATTTCCCATAATTGTTCCAAACTCCCACTCCCACTTCTGCCTTTTGGTTCCGCAGTGAATCATCAGGATGCGTCTTTGACGTGGATCTTCTCATCTTTTCACGTTTTGCTAGTATTTAATGTCTCCCGTCACATATTTGGCCCAGGAGCTCTCGATTCTTGCATATCGCACCTACACCGATTGGACTATTGAATATTACGACATTTGGTACATCAAAAGTAAACTGCAGCAGGAAAGTCCGACCGCTCAATATCAATATCAATTCCAAACTTCAAAGCAATAGTTCCAGGGTTCAACTAGCCTCGAAGACCCTTGTTTTCCCTCCACATTTCATTTGATGCTTCTTGATTCCGCATTTGCTCCAATTCCCGATCTTCAGAAGTCAAAGCCACTTCCAACACCAACACTCCAACTTCTTACTTGAATCCTAAGAAAAATTCCAGTCTTCGTCAAAGAGTGGTGTGGGTGATAATATTGAGAGGCGATCTTTTGCACATGTTCAGCTTCTTATTTATCATTTCCTCTTTCCCTTCTTTCACATTTGCATTTCGCATCTCCCGCTCCTGCATGCGAGCTTTTAGATTCCTGCCGTTGTGTACCGTGTCGTCATTCCAGAACGTCTATCTTCCTGAGATGTATTAGGTGACACACCGAGACATTTCCGATATGAGACCTTCTAGCAAGAGCCACATTGGCGTCGACTTTACAATGTCGTCGAATGTTCCACCCGAATCGAGGGACTCGTCAGCCCCGCCTTCACCTACAGCCATGAGAACTCTCCAAAGATCAACAAGTAATCTTTCCGACGAGCGAACTCCTCTTCTCCATAGTGCGGGACGTTCTCGTATACGTCTCGGTGGCGCCGCGGAGACCAATCGCCCATATCTACCAAGTCATCATAGTTTCTCTGGCAAGTATTCAATTTTACCATTATCTATCAAGCTTCAGCTTTCTCCCATAGTATTGAGCACTGGGCTAATTGTATATTATTAACAGGTAGTTTAAGAGGTAGTCGGCATCATAGCCGTGCCGGATCTTGGGGCCAGCGTTTAGTCACCGCATTAACTTCAGAAAGACATGGACCCAAGGACCAGATGCGAGAATCGAAAAACATGTCGACCACAGACGACAGAGTTTGGTATGATCAGTTTACATCAACAGATTGGGTTCATGACAGCATTGCAGATGCTTACCGAGTGAAGGGCCTCCGAAGCAGGAAAGATTTTCGAGGTCGAATCAAGGCGTTTTTTGATGGCACACAAGGTTGGATATTGAGTGCCCTAGTTGGATTCGTGACAGCTACGATAGCATATACCGTTGATGTCTCGGAGACTCCTATTTATGATTGGAAAGATGGTTATTGTCATGATGGATTTTTCATGAGTGAAAAGGTTTGTGCAATTTTCGTCATCTCCCTTCATCGTTCGACATGACTTTTGAACTTGCCCAGCACAGCTTAGAAGCCAGATTTAGCGACTTTAAAGTGATGTGCTTTCTGCTTTCAATCACGGGGGAATAAGTACACTGACTATCGACAGAGATGTTGCCCTGACGGCGACAAATGTGATGCTTGGAAATCTTGGTCAAATTATGTCGAAATACCATTTTTGAGTGAGGAGTTAACGGAGTTCTTTATTTACGTTTTACTTGTAGTCGCATTTGCAACAGCAGCATGTCTTCTGACCTTGACTACCAAAACGGTCGTACCATCAACATATCAGCTATCTACGTTGGATGAGAACCTTGGTGCTCTTAGTCGACATGAGTCTCAAGCGCCAGTCGATGGTAATACCAGCCCGAAGAACACGCTGGGATCTGAGACGAATGCTCCAATGATCTACTACTCGGCTGCCGGCAGTGGAGTGGCTGAAGTTCGCGTAATTCTTAGCGGTTTCGTTTTGCATGGATTTCTTGGTTTTAAGACTCTACTCGTCAAAACACTCGCTCTTATATTGAGTGTAGCATCTGGGCTAAGTTTGGGCAAGGAGGGCCCTTTTGTACACATTGCAACTTGTGTGGGCAATATCGCATGCCGCTTATTCTCCAAATACGATGATAACGACGGAAAACGCAGAGAAGTATTGTCTGCGGCCGCGGCTGCAGGCGTTGCGGTAGCTTTTGGTGCCCCCATTGGCGGTGTTCTGTTTTCTTTGGAAGAAGTGGCGTACTTTTTCCCGGCTAAAACATTATTTCGAACCTTCTTCTGCTGCATCACAGCTGCACTAACACTAAAATTTCTCAATCCTTATGGTACCAACAAAATTGTCATGTTTGAAGTTCGCTACTTA